CACAATTTCTTGTCCAGAGCTCTAGTGGAGAGAGGGAGAATACCTTATAGTCCCATTAAGGGGTATAAAGTTCAAATTGGGAATGGTGAATGTATACCCAATTTGGGCAGATGTACCTTGGCTGAATGGGAGGTCCAGGGAGTACAAATTCAGCAAGAATATTATATGTTGGATTTGGGAGGAGTGGATATAGTGTTGGGGATGGAATGGCTGACTGGATTGGGAGACATGGAGGTGAACTTTAAGCATCAAATCCTTAAGTGGAATCAGAAAGGGGAAACATACATTATAAGAGGTAACCCAGCTGCTAATCAGATGGAGGTAACTTTGAAGACTATGGTTCACATTTTAAATCAGGTTGGAGATGGGTTCTTGTTGTACTGTGAAGGGGAATCAGAGAAACTGACTGAGAAAGAGGACATGGAAAAGGAGTGGGGAGAATTGATAGCTGAATTTACAGAAGTCTTTAATTCTACACTCAAGTTTCCACCTGCAAGGGACTGTGATCATGCCATTAATATTAAAGAAGGAGCAGATATACCAAATATCAGACCATACAGGTATTCATTTGATAAAAAAAATGAAATTGAGAAGATTATTGCAGAAATGTTGAAATCTGGAATCATTAAACACAGCAATAGCCCCTATAGTAGCCCCATTATATTAGCTAGAAAGAAAGATGGAGGCTGGAGGTTTTGTGGAGACTATAGGGCTTTAAATAAGGTTACTATACCTTATAAGTTTCCTATTCCGGTTATTGAGGAGCTTTTGGATGAGTTAGGTGGTGCCAGAATTTTTTCAAAGTTAGATCTCAAAGCAGGTTACCACCAGATCAGGATGAAGGCCAGTGATACACATAAAACAGCTTTCAGAACCCATGAGGGTCATTATGAGTATTTAGTTATGCCCTTTGGTCTGACTAATGCTCCCTCCACTTTTCAGTCACTTATGAATGATGTACTAAGGCCTTTTCTGAGAAAATTTGCTTTGGTGTTCTTTGATGATATTTTAGTTTACAGTAAAACTAAGGAAGAACATAAAGAACACTTAAGAATGGTTCTGGGAGTTTTGAAGAAGAATCAGTTGGTAGCAAATCAAAAAAAGTGCTCGTTTGGCCAAAAACAGCTGAATTATGTGGGACATATAATTTCAGAAGAGGGTGTGGCAGCTGATCCTGAAAAGATTGAGGCTATGAAGAATTGGAATATCCCTAAAGACTTGAAGGAACTCAGAGGATTCTTAGGTTTGACTGGGTATTACAGGAGGTTTGTAAGGGGATATAGCAAGATTGCTGCTCCTCTTACCATGCTTTTAAAGAAAGATGGTTTTGTCTGGAATGAGATGGCTACTGAAGCTTTTCAGAATCTGAAGAATGCCATGATTTCTTTGCCAGTTGTAAGAGTGCCTGATTTTAACAAGATGTTTGTGATAGAAACTGATGCTTCAGGAAAAGGCTTAGGGGCTGTGTTGATGCAGGAAGGAGGCCCTATTGCTTATATGAGCAAACAGTTGTCTCCCAAACATTTGAATAAATCTGTGTATGAAAAAGAATTAATGGCTATTGTTTTTGCTATTCAAAAGTGGAGACCTTACCTCTTGGGAAGGAGTTTTGAGGTCCATACAGATCAAAGGAGTTTGAAATACTTGACTGAGCAAAAGGTTAGGGGAGAAGATCAACAAAAATGGATAGCCAAGCTGATGGGTTACAATTTTACCATTAGATACAAACCAGGAATTGAAAATAAGGCAGCTGATGCCTTATCCAGAAAATATACATATGCAGCTCTATCCACAGTAACTTGTCAGGAATGGGAGGGTTTGGGAGAAGAACTGGAAAAGGACCCTAAATGGGGGGAGATCATGCAGAAGATGTTGATTCAGCCAGATAAATACCAGGATTATAAGATGAAGGGAGGTTTACTTTATTACAAAGGGAGGTTGATTTTACCAAAAGGGTCCCACAAAATTCTAATCATTCTCAAGGAATACCATGATTCAGCAATAGGGGGTCATTCAGGGTATATCAGGACTATGAAGAGGATTGCCAATTTGTTCTTTTGGGTGGGGATGAGATCTGACATAAAGGATTATATTCAAGGATGTGACACTTGCCAAAGGAATAAATATCAGGTTTTAAAGCCTGTTGGTTTGATGCAGCCTTTACCAATACCTGAACACGTTTGGACTGATATTAGCATGGATTTCATAGGAGGTCTACCAAAATCCCGAGGAAAAGACACTATTTTAGTGGTGGTTGACAGACTGACAAAGTTCTCACATTTCATACCATTGGCACATCCTTATAATGCCAAAGGAGTGGCTGAAATCTTTATCCAGGAGGTAGTGAGGATACATGGATTTCCCAAATCCATTGTCAGTGATAGAGACAGCCTTTTCTTGAGTTCATTCTGGTCAGAGTTGTTCAGATTGGCTGGGACAAAGCTCAAATATAGTACTGCCTATCATCCACAGAGTGATGGGCAGACTGAAGTAGTAAATCGTTGCCTAGAAACTTACTTGAGGTGTTTAAGTGGAAGGAAACCGAGGCAATGGGTTAAATGGCTTCCATGGGCTGAATATTGGTTCAACACTAATTATCATAGCTCTTTGAAAAGCACTCCATATCAGGCTTTGTTTGGACAATCACCTCCTGCTATCATCAGAGGTGATGTCAGTATAACTTCAGTAGATGAAGTAGCTAAAATGACTGCTGAGAGGAATGGGATGTTGACTGAATTGAAGGAGAATTTGGCCGGAGCACAAAATATGATGAAGCAACAAGCTGATAAACATAGGAGGGAAGAGGAACTGGAAGTAGGAGACCAAGTTTTCTTAAAGATACAACCATACAAGATGAGAAGTTTGGTCAGGAAGATCAATCAAAAGCTGAGTCCAAGATTTTAGGGCCCTTATGAAATTTCAGAAAAGATAAATAAGGTTGCTTTCAGATTAAAGTTGCCAGAAGGAAGTAGAATACACCCTGTATTCCACATATTCCCAGATTGCCTCACAGAAGATTGTGAGTTGCAAGTGAGACCTGAAGCTGTGAGAGACAGCAGGCTGAATCAGGAAGGGAAGAAGGAGATCCTAGTGCATTGGCAGGGCCTTCCTGATTTTGAAGACTCATGGGAGGATATTAACATGATCCAAGATCAGTTCCCCCAAACTTGTTAAAAGCGCTCAAAAGCGCGCTTAAGCGCCAAAGCGCAGGCGAGCGCCGGTTCCCCGCCTGGCTTTTGGGAAGCGACTCGCCGTGAGAAAGCTCCGCTTTTCCTTCGCTTTTCGTGAGCTCGCTTTTCAATTAAGCGACCGCTTTTCTGAGCTTTTCACAAAAAGCGAAGGTCAATTTTTTTTTAAAGTTTTAAGTGTTATCGGCCTCACGCTAGAAATTAGGGTTATGTTCGTTCGATTCTTTCCACGCACTAGACAACGTCGCAGGTGAAGAAGTCGCAAGTGAAGAAGCCGTAGGTGATGAAGCCGCAGGTTTGGAGTTCGCCCAGACTTCTTTTGGGCTAGAAATCTCCAACTCGCCTGTGAGCCGCACAATCTCTTTCGCGTAAACATCGTTCTTCAGTCTTCACTCTTCAGGTTTACTCTGTTTTTTTTAATTTGAAAACTTTCAGTCTTATTACAGACTACAAAGACTTTAGCCTTTTGCTCTGTTTTTTTTTTAAACACCTTTCAGCCTTAAACATCGTTCTTCACTCTTTAGCTAGTTACATAATTAATTTATCAACCCCAGTTTACTCCACTAAATTAAATTTTAGTTTATTCATTTCAGTTTATTGATTAATTAGTTTTTAGTTTATTCCAGTTTTTTCCTTTCATTTTATTGATTAATAAATTTTTAGTTTATTCCTTTCAGTTTATTGGTTAATTAATTTTTAGTTTTTTCCAGTTTATTCCTTTCATGTTATTGATTAATTAATTTTTAGTTTATTCAAGTCTACTACTTTCAGTTTATTGATTTATTAATTTTCAGTTTATTCCACTAAGTTTATTGATTAATTAAATTGTACAGTTCATTTACACTTGCTTGATTATATATTTGTGAAATATGTATATGTAAACTGTAGACAAAATGTCTGGAGAACAATCTAAAAGTCAAGATCCTCAGGGGAGAAACACTACTTATGCATTTTTGGCTTAATTATACATTATATATATTATTTTTTTAATATTTTATAAGCATCGCTTTTTGTGAGAAAGCTACGCTTCGCTTAGCGCTTTCGCTTTTAAGCAAAGCCCAAGGTCATCGCTTTTGGACGTTTTTCGCTTTAAAAATGTTTGCAGTTCCCTGACTTTCAACTTGAGGACAAGTTGGTTCTGCAAGGAGGGGGTATTGATAGAGATCCAGCTAGTCTACATACTCAGAATAGATGGTTCGGGCGAGTTTATTCTAGAAGGCCTAAAATAGACTAGCGGGTTATTAGTTGTGAGTTGTTAGTAACTAATAACTACCTTCTGTTTGTAGAAGGATATAAATAGTATATTTCTGCTGTAGGATGGCAGGCTGTTTTTAGACTAATTGTCTGGGACTGGGAGTTGGAGTTTTATCTCCTTCTTGGGACAATTGTATACGACTTACCTTCTGTGAATAAGATTCTGTTTCTTACTATTGTTCTTAACTCTGTTGTGATTTATTCTGGATTTGTGGAGGTCGTATCAGGCCAATACAAGTTGGGACCACATTGTTGCGGGTTCTAGAGCAAACCCCAACATTGATCTCGTGTAGCATTTATTCATGAAAAGTGAAAATAAAGATGTGAATGCCTGCACAGTCACATTTTGAAATATAATAAAAAATAGATCAATGCGGGGGTGGGGAGCACACTTTACATTTATGATATGAAGTTCTGTTCGAGTAACACTCAGAGGGTAAAGAAATGACGAACCTAGGAATGATTTTTGTAAATTATTGATATAGACGTCTTGTGTGCTTTGGTAGCATTGTAGTTCTCTATCAAATTTCTTCTTGTTGTTGTTGTTGGATGTGCTAGTGATGTACGTTGTTGACCTTAGAAGGGGTGTTTACTACCAGAAGTGCTATGATCCGGATTGCAGAGGTAAAATGGTCAAATCATCACGTCCCAGTACTTTTGCTTAAATATTTAAAAGTAAAATATCTGCAATTGTGATGGTGACAGGTTATCGATCCCCTTTGCGTCCTGTCCCTGGCAATGTCATGGCTCATTGTTCATTGTCCTTTGGCCTGGAAGTTAGCACTGAAGATTGGAAGCACGCAACTGTAGCTACTGATCGGGATATTACAGATAGCTGCAAGAAAGACTGGTGGCTTGAAGCTATCAAATTTGCAGATCAGCTAGAGAGCACACCAACAGCCCTGGATGTATGTGATGTAAGTTGGATGCATTTATCCGATAAAGTTCATAAGTAATCTTAAGCTACAATTAAGCTCTGTTTGAGTGTGTGTAATTTATTGTTTTGCTTAGACAGTTATATCTTAATACCGTTTCATAAAAAAGCTTTGTTTTTGTTTTCTAAATTGTTATCGCTATTCACTAATAATTTTGTTATTTTTACTAAAGTAAAACATTTCATCAGTTTCTCATTTGAACTTGTATTCTTTTTGCAACTACTCCGTATTATTTAATAGTTTATCGATATTCTTTTATGTCTGTTGACACGCGTTTTTTCATGTGAGTTTGTCAATATATCCAATTTTAGATAAATTGAATTTACGCGAAAAAAGCTAATGTAGTTTCTGGTTACTCTGTCAAGGAAAAACAGGAGGGAAGATCAGGAGAAGATGAAGACTGGTGGGTGACAGTGGAAAGGATTGCAACCCAAGCTGAACAGGCTTACCTTGGACAAGCTTAGAATCTTTCTTGGGCATACCAAACCGATAAACTACCAGTTTACTTATACTCCATTCTGTATAAGCGAGTTGTTTGCTGATAGTTGATTAGGTAGTTCTCTGAGAAGAAATGTTTGGTAAAAGTGGCCTAAAAATTAGTTAAGAAAATGTAAATTGACATAGGAACGTAAAGGGCTTTTTGGTAATAAAACAATATATAATGGTTATTAGTAATTTAACACAGTATTACGTCATTTGCGAAGTTAAAAAAGCGCTAATAGAAAATGAAAACAAGGCATACACATTTAGTCTGGACCATTAAAGAAAAGCTATTTTTGTGTATCTAAGACAGCAATACTCTTCTTTCTCCAATTGTGGGTAGACCTGGACGACTGGACCTGGGCTGACTTTGGTCTGCTTCCAACTTCAGGGGAGGACTGGAACAGTGGAACTTTAATGAGGTAAATAAGTAAATTGATTCCGGTTCTGATTTGTAGTAACCGGGTCCAGTTGAGTCTATTTACGTCCAAAAGGTTGAATCCCCAACCTCAAGGGCCCCCCCACCCCGACCCGACAGGATGGTGGGGGAGTAAATCACGGTGACTCAGTTGGCAAATCAGTTGAGTCTATTTAAAAACGCGAAATTGGTTGGTTCGTTGTTATCATGACTCTGATTTGGTCCGATGGTGGGTACTGATGGCGGCACTGGCCTGTCAAAGTGAGTTTGAGCTTTTAACTACATGTAATTTTCAATTTTGTGTATGAATCATGTGATGAAATGATTTTCAAGCTGTTTCATACTTTCATAGTAGCACTCATATTTAAAACTACATCCTTTGTTTCAAAATGAAAAACACATTTGTGGTTGAATATGTGATTGAAATTATTTTAAAGAGCTTGTTTCATACTTTTGTGAATTCATGTAGTGCAGTCATTTTTTTCAAAATCACTCTGTTTCAAAATGAAAGATACAATTGTATTTCTACCATTCCAACCTTTAGAAGTAAGAAAAACTAGTATGAGCCTATAAAGTAAAGAGGGGAGAAGTTAAAATTTTAAAAAATAGTGGTGTTTGGTTTATAAAATTGTCACATTTCGAGATACTAAAAAAGAAAGCTGTTTAAATGGGATTGAAGGACTTCGCGACCTTTTATATCAAATTTACTTTTTGATCTTATATATGAGCATCCCATGAAACCCTCGACTTGTAAGATTTTTTAAATTGGGAGTCGCCTTTAGAGTTGGACTCGGCCCGGGTTGGGCCCGGGTACCCATCGGGTCCGGTCCGGGCCTATTATCATTTTTTTTCCTCTTCCTAATTAACCCCCTCCCACTCCTAATCTCCCAAACCACCCCAAATGGCCCAAAATATCCAGCCCAACCCGAAAATTTTAAAAAAATTGAAAAAAAAAAAATCAATTTTGGCCCGAATCAGCCTCGAGCCGGGCCTTGTTTTTGATGACCCAAGCTCGGACCGGAATACCCACGGGTCGGGTCTACCCGGACTGGTCACTGACCGGGCCACAGGGTCGGGTCGGGCTGGAATAGTACCGGTCTCGGGTCGGTTCCGGGTCAGGCCACCCGGCCCGAGTCCACCCATAATCGCCTTGGTGACCTTGCAAGTAAAATATGACTCAATTATTTGGTTAGGTGCAAATTGCAAGTAAAATATGACTCAATTATTTGGTTAGGTGCAAAATATATTTTAAAATTGCATGTAAAGTATTTGCATTGTTTTATATTTAATTGGTGTTATACCAGTAAAATATTTTCATAGTACAATATAAAATGTTTTTGAAAAAAACATCCCACAGTTACAAAATTTAACAACCAACCCTAACAATGTAAACTCTCATCTTTTGCTAACAAAATATTTACTTTGCATCTTATCCGATGCCCCGTTAACGTGGAATAAAATGGTATTGTGGTTTCTTTCCCATCAATAGTGTCATTTGAAGTGCTAATTGTTTTATTTCCAAAGGACACTATAAACTCAGTCCTATTTTAAGGTGAAAATTTCATAATTTATGTATGCTCATTTGATAATGGTCACAGGCTAAATGTGGACAATCTGAAAGTAAGAGACTAAATGTGGAAGTGCTATAATAGTCGTGGAATCAAAAGTGAAATTTTTTCTTGTGAAGAAACTGAAACTAGTAGGACCGGTGCCCAATACCAATTAAGGGGGATCAAATCCACCATGGCACTGCAATACTGCATCTAGTGATGGACTCGGCCCGGGTGGCCCGACCCGGAACCGGCCCGGGACCGGTACTGTTCCGGCCCGGCCCGACCCGGTGGCCCGGTCAGTGACCGGTCCGGGTAGGCCCGACCCGTGGGTTTTCCGGTCCGGGCTCGGGTCAGCCAAAACAAGGCCCGAGCCCGGTTCGGGCCAAAACTATTTTTTTTTCAATTTTTTTTTAAATTTTCGGGTTGTGCTGGGTATTTTGGGCCATTTCGGGTGGTTTGGGGGGTTGAGGGTTGGACCTTTGGAGGGGGGTTAATTAGGAAGAGGGGAAAAAAATTGATAATGGGCCCGGACCGGACCCGATGGTTACCCAGGCCGGTCCCAGGTCCACCACTTCTGATCCGCCGGCCCGCACAGTATTAAAATATGCATTACAAAGAATACCAAAGAATAATGTTTTCTTTTTTAAAAAAGATTGTAACAAAATGTTCAAAATTTTGAAACAAGCCTAAAGTTAATATTTATGAATTTGAAATACTTCTTTTATAAGGGAAAAAACTAATTTGCCAATAAATACTAAAACCTATTTTTATTCTATCTAGATTTATAACAAAATTATTATTTTTATATTTTATTTTCTTTGCACCATTTTTAAGAAAAACAAGCTTTTAATGTTTTGTTTTTCCATATTCCAAACCCAATACAGAGTTTTTGAAGTGAATAAGGGCTAATTTGCTCCTTGATAGAAATACTAAGGGTAAGTCTACTTTAGGTGCAAATCCACCTGTGTACTGTATAGTAGTCAAGTACTATACATTTCTTCAGCATTACACAAAGATAACTAAATCACTTAAATTTATTAGTATGCACATCCTTTGCAGCTTTGTAAGTCTATCAAATAAATCCGCAAATGTTATAATGCTGTACACTTGTACTGGGGGTAACTAGTAGTATACAATTATGAGCTACCTTCAATATATTCAGGGCTGGAAAATAGAAATAAAAATAAATATAGGAAGAAAGGAAACTGGAACAGAAACGCCCATTGATGCTACTATGTACAATATTCTAAGCCAGGGTACACAACCTGACGCATAGTCACAACTGGCAGTTCAGAACTTCATCAAGATTCAGTTTGCTGAGTTTCTTTCCTCTGTTGCATCTTTTGGAGCCTTGGGAATAGTAGATTGTTCAGTTGCCTCTCGGCACTATACTCCGAGGAGGCCTGCAAATACAATACATTTCACTATCAAAGTTTTAGAGAAATTTAAACCAAACAGCCAATAAATCATACTAGGAAATAGAGTCTTGGGAGGGTAAAAGCCTTTTTGACAACGAGACCCTCAGGCAAATAAAAGAAAGTTTGTGAACTGTTTTGAACACAAATGTGGCATCTCGAGAGCTCAGTGATGGTGATGTAGAACAGCATACCCGCTTTTTGAATGGGAAGCGTAATGTTTGAACTTGTATTCCAGAGCAAACTCTCACATCAATGCCAAGGCTATCCATACCTATCAGAGCTACCTCCTGCCATGTTTATCATTGAAAAAAAAAATACCAAGATGACTGTGATTAATGAGAATAATCGTGCACACCGGTAAACATAGTGACATGTAACCGCCCCATCAATTTTTTCTATAATTGCTTCAATTGTTTTTTTAAATAAATACACTCTTTGTCACATTTCTCTTGTAACTTTCGCAATTTAATGAGTTAACCAAATTTCTTTTCATTTTTTAGATGGCAAAACTTTAACATATTCGAATTTAATGTTGCGGACTTGCGGTCCAATAGAATTTTTAGTGCGGTTTCTAAATATGTAAATTCCAATCATGAATACTAATTTAGATATTATTAAGAGAGATTTCACAACTTCCGACAAACCTAGTAACATGACAATAGGAAACAAAATGGGATGGATGGAGCTATATTAGTAGGTAGTATTCACATATACCCATTCCCCCAACCATAAAATCATGTGTCCACCATTGGCGGATAATTCATTGGTTTGCCATGACTACATAAATGGTACACTACCCTCATGGTACACCTGAAGTGGTTGGTAGAGACTAGAGTGCTAAAATGAAGTAAACCAAACTTCAATTCCTGACAACTACGCAATGGGGCATCCTTGTTCAGCGAGGACAGCCCTTGTAGAGAGACCTTTTAAGAGAGAAGAGTCCCAGCCTCCCAGGAAGGCTACTTGTGCCATCCTTTACTAAAAACAGGCATCCAAAAAAGTAGGGTCACTACTAAATATGTGGGGCACGATTACTAATGTTTCAACTTTCACTTGAAGATAGTGTTTCAGGTTTGGGAGAAAAGTAGTTGATTTCTTTTATTATGTCTTTAGCTTTGAAGGATAGATATAAGAAGCAACTGGATAGGGAGGAATTACAGCATTAGGTTTGCAAAAACTGCCCAAGAGATCCAACTAAACCAAATGATTGAAATTGCTTTTGTAAGGACTGTTGATGTTACCTCAACTTGTATACCCTTGCATCTCATGCACAAGGATTTGAGAGCTTGAATGGTCTTTTGTCCACCAGCTTTGAGACGAGACAAGATTTTTACAGCTGGCTGCACAATTGCATCAGGCTGAGCCCTCCGAAAATCTTCTATTTCAATACAAGTCTGTCATCAGAAAGGCAGTAAGTCATAATATCATGACTAGTTTTTTTCTATTATTATATTATTATTATTTTTAGTTGTTATTGTTGATGTTGTTACCATTATCATTATCATCATTATTATTATTGGAGGGAGCAATATCATAACCTGGTCAAAAATAAAATTGATGCTTATTTCTCATGTTTCTTTACCATTTTAATTTGAGGACTAATTGTGTTTGAGTGTTGGATTGTGGAGAGTGGAGACTAGACATCAAGTGGTGCTGGATAATAAAGCCCAACCATGAAAAATGAGATCATGCCAATTTTGATGGGCGGTTGGAACGATCTCGTTTTTATGCCCTAGGATTAGTTTTCTTTTTGTCCAGTGATTGTTTTCATATTGATTACCCCTTTTCATATGTATCTCTTAGAAATTTAGTGA